TCCAGTGTGATACACAAACTGGCATGTGGACGGTGAGGAGCACTCCAATCAAGCTTCAGCGAGGTATGGCCTGATATGGCCGAGCTGGTGATCACAAAATCCAGCTCACTGCCCCCATGGGTTGTGGGCTCTCCCGCACAGAGTATTTGGCCACCAAGCTCGCTGACGATGTTGGTATCTGCCAGCTCGTTTGGAGAGACGTTGAAATCTCCTGCCACAATCCACTGCCCTACGTGGCCTTTCAGGAGTGCAGCCCCATGATTTCAGCATTGGGATGACACTGAATAGGCGTGGACTTCTTTAGGTACAAGCTCAGGAGGAGAAGGCTCACTCCTTTGACTCTCAGTTTGGCTGCACAGTAGCCACAGCCTTCCTCGGTAAAATGATGCATAGCCTGGACTTTGAGGTGTTTTTTGGAGAGCAGAGCGACTCCGCCATTGGTCCCTTGCTTCGAAGAGGTAACCGCTTCTCCCCCAAGCATCTCATAACCAACTTTGTGCATAGCTGCCAAAGCTTCAGCAACGCCTTTGTTGGTTAAGTGCGTTTCCTGCACCAAAATTACATCATCACTCAGGCTCTGCATCCATCTTTGCGTCTCTGGACGCCATTGCGTGAGGTTGGAGGATCTGATTCGAATTGTCCTGGAATTGCGACTGTTGAGGCCGACAATGATATCATCAACGGCTTGGGTGAGAATCTCAAACCCACTCGTGGCACCCTCGCTAACTTTCGTCAGCAGCTGGTACGCTGTCCAACCTTCCAGTCCATCCTCATTGTCCTTAACCTCATCAAATTCGGCCAAGGCAAGAAGGGTAGCTTCCTCCTCCCCAGGGATGCACAAATGCTGGACCAACACTTCCCTGAGGTGCTTCCACATCTTGAGTCTTTTCCTGGATTGCTTCCACACTTCCTGAGCCGGTGCAGCACACCCCTTGGTGTGTTTGGACCTTGCTCGTCTGCGTCTTTTAACTGGTTCTTCCGCAAAACTCCAAGGAAAAAACCGCGGTTCAAAATTGCGGGGAAAGGTGGCAGAGCTGCGCTCCGAAATCCCCTCGTGACTGAGCTGGCTTAGCAAACCTCCGTCACAAGATGTATCCCAACTGGAAGCCAGTGGGCTCGTCTTGTCCTTTGTGCCAAAACCGGCCTCGCGAGCATCCGGTGGCAGGGCGGCATCAAACGCCGTATGGGCATAGCATTGCCCTGTCTCCGGGTGCCAAGTTGAGGACCTCAAAACTGAGCAGGCAGGTTTCCTCTGCCTGCGCTTGGAACGGAAAACTTTCCAAGGGCCTTCAAATCCCTCGGTTTTGTTCTGGGCCAAAAAACCACTCTCAAGACCGAGCGGGGCCACGTAACCGTTTGCAAAATCCCCTTTCCCAGGGGCTAAATGGTTCATAGGCTCCGCTGGATCCTGCACAGGACAGGCTTGGGACTTCGGGGCTGGGTGCATTGCTTGCGCACGGTAATGCGATCCACTGACACTACTACGGTCAGGTGATTGAGCATTTCCCAAGCTAACATAGCTAGCCCCAACCCCGCGCCCTAGCCCCTAGCCCTGTTGGGTGCTGCGGCCCCTGCTGCGGGACCTTGCCTTTTCTCCCTCTTTTGCCTCCTGTTGCCCAGGCTCCTGTCCTGGAGGTGCAGGGCTAGGCGGTGCATTCTTATTGTCTGGCGCATCCGTGCGCCGTCGCTTCGCAGCCTCATCAAAGACTAGACTAGAACAATGCGCTTGCGGTATTCATCTATCTGATCTACCTCCATAGCCTCTACCTGTCTGATGAGAGCATCTGCTGCATCTGGTAGAGCTTCTGGGGCTGGACTCACATTGACTGATGACTGAAGCTCGAGCTGCAACAAGGAGACTTCCTTCTGCCTTGCATCGAGTTTCTCGTTGAAGCTTTGCATATCTTCCAGCATTGCGGCATACTGCTCCTTGTGCTTGTTGAGCCGAAACTGCAATGCCGACTTTTTGAAGATAATGTCCCTGAGGTCGGCCGTTGCCACTTTGAAGAGTCTGCT